ATATTTACGTAAATATCTTAGAAAATAGAGGTCGTATAAAAAATTTTTTCAAGCAAAAGTTGTTTGCTTTTTTACGTAGAATAAAATCCCGTAATAAAAAATATGTATTTCTATTTAAAAAAGCAAAGTTGACCTTGTCTTGACCTTGGCTACGTCATCTTAGGTCAAATAACTACTGTCATTAAATGCGACTTTTTAAGCCTTACAACTTTTATTCGAAACATTTTTCTCTAAAATGCTTCCGCGCCGAGTTTTCTTGCCGTTGCCGAACTTATGGGACACACTGTATAATAGGACTTAGAACGAGGTTTACTATATTACCACTGTAATCTTGCAAATGATAGCTCTTATAGCTTCATCATCATCAGGTTTTTATCAGTTCAAAACTGACAAAAGATTGCCAATAGAATATAGAATATCTGTACAAAAACTTTAAGATATAACTGTTTATGAGGAAAATGGAAAAAAATAAACATAAAAACTAAAATAAATCTATAAAATGATCAACCATTATTTATAAAGACATACCGAAATATAGGAACTTTTTAATCCATTATAAATATAATACATTAAGTAAAAAACGTATTCGTACTTATACAATAAATATGTATAATATTACAACAGATATATAGAAATGTACATAAAAAACAAGAAAATTGTTTTTTATTCAGTCTATAAATATAAACGTAAAAAGAATACTTTAAATATCAATTTATTTTTACTGCTCAATTTATTCAATTCATATAAGTATTTGAGCACGATGATATTGATACTAATGTACCTTTCTACTTTTATTCAATGTTGGTCGTACAATTTCTAATTTTTTCTATTTTGTTATTCTTTCTAGATCAGTTCAATTTTTATTATTCTTCCTATATATATCAGTTCAATATTATGTTGATTCATAATAAAATGTTGATTTATATTGATTGTACATTTTGACAATTGTTATCTTGTCATGTTATTTTCGTTTTGTATATTGACCAATTTATCGCGAATCTTTGGCACGAATGTGCTTACTGATTGATGTAGAAACAGCTGGCAACGTTTGGTATGCATCTTCATGTTGTCACGACGATTAAATTGTTTTCCGCAACCAGCGCAAGGAAACCTAATATATATAATTTAGAAACAGAGAAATTATTACATGTAACTATAATTAAGTATGGAATATGTTTGCTGAAATGAAAATGCTTACCTAACATCGCTATGCGTAGCTGAGTGAGCGGCTAAGTGCGATTGTTGAGCGAATGTTTTGTCACAGTCATTACACTTATACTTCCGAATACCCTCGTGTTTTAGCATATGTTCCTTCAAGATGTGTTTGTTTTTATAAAATTTGAAACATAACATGCATTTATATTTGGCCTTCATGTGTACCTATATGTCAATAACATCAATAATTAAGAAATAAATTTATTATAATTCTAACTTTCGCGTATTTAATCAGTTATAGAGATAGGTTATACTATAAGAAATAATTTAATACAAAATATATTATATTATTATGTAAATAAATTATTATGTAAATAATATTTAAACACTATTGAAATAATATATTAAAAATTAAAATTATTAAAACTATTCTTTACAATTTAGATATGTAGGATTAATGATTGAAATTTCATACATTTTTATGGTTGTATAAGTTTTTCCTGGACAGCATTTCCTTATTGCAAATATCGCAGACATACTTCTGCGAGTGAACTTTCTTCATATGTGTGTGGAGATTCGTTTCACTTGACAAATAGTTTTTACATATTAAACATTGAATCATGTTCTCTTTATTGTGAACAAGCATGTGTGCGTTTTTTCTGGCTGTCGACTTAAACATTTTAGGACAGATGTCACATTTAATGTCCTGCAATAATTACAAGAGAATTTATAAATAATATTAATTATTTGTTGCATTAAACAGCGTATTAATAACAGTGAAATGTTATAAAATGTTATAAATAAAAATTTATATCATCACTCACTTTGTTTAGCTTATGTGTTTTGTAATGACAATTTAGTCCCTGCCGACTCATGTAAGTGAAGTCGCAAATTTCACACTTAAACGGCCGTACACCTGTGTGAGAATTGATATGTTCCTGCAAGAGTATCATGCTCCCGTAACGTTTGTCGCATTGATCACAGGCGTACGGTTTAATTTTTAGATGACATTTCCGAATGTGAGCGCGAATATTGCTTATTGTTACTGTCGAGTAATCACATTTTACACATTCGTATGGCTTGATCTCCAAATGATTCATGATATGGACCTGATAGAAACAATTTCCACGTAGTTAGAAACAAGAAAAAAGAAATTATTATATTTTACATGACCTTAAAATGATATATAATGTTTATTGTCAAAAAATGATCTAAAATTAACTAAAATTAATAGGACGATAAATCAAGAGTAGAAGCACTCGCAACGTTAAAAACTTAAAGTATTCTTCTTTTGATTACTTTTGATATTCTTTTGATATACTTACTCTACATTTGTCTGATCTAGAATAATTCGCCCCGCAGATATTGCACTTAATATTGTCCTTGTTCAGCACAGTCATTTTATTCTGCACCTCACATTTCATGAGACTTAAGTTTATCTTGTAGCTCGTCTCGACCAACCTTTTTTCTTCTTCAGTCATCAATTGAGAGATCTTAATACTATTTCTCTTTCCGCTCTTGTCTTTTCCGGATACGCAAGACGATCCATCCTGCATGTTCGTCTGTGCTTCTTGATGCGATTTCTCCAAAACGAGAAAGTCGCTTTGCACTGGCAATGCGACAGCGGTCTTTGTGATATTGTCGGTTTCCGCGAGAGAAAAACCGTTCATTAAGTTGATATTGGTCGTTTGAGCTAACGTTGAATCAGACTCGTCGTTCACTTTCGATTCCACCTGATTATCGGACGTTACATTAACGCAGGGTGCTTTCTTTTCCTGATACATGCTAGAATCGTTTGACTTCTCAATGGGAATCCGCACCAGATCATCGCTCTTGCTTGAAGTCTCCACCGGTTTGCGACTTTGCGAAGACGCCTTCTCGCCGTTGATGTCCTCCTGTTTCACGATTATTACTTGCGACTTGCAACTTGGCCTCGCAGTATTCGAATCTTTATTGAGTCCGTTAGTAGTGACGATATTTCGAATTTGCTCCTTGAGTGGTGTAATGTTCTTTTCGTGTTTCTTGATACTTCGTTGCCTCGAGTAACGTCTTACTTTTCTTGAATTTTTAGAATTTGTTACAACTGGTACAGTATTTTCTTTATCGGCTTCAATCTCGACTTCATCCTTATTTCCATTTTCGCTCTCATCCTCGATTCCGATGTCATTTCTTTGGTTTATAGCTGCTTCTGTATTTTGACTCTACATAATTCGAGAAGTTTTGTATATAGTGGATATAAAGAGCAAGAGTAGAAAAATGCTGTATTTTTCGAGATAATTTTTTAAGGAAACAACAATGTAACAGCAAATATTTCATTCATTATACAATGCGAATTTTGGTTGTCGAATAATACTTAATTAACTCCGAAAATATTAGAATTTACACATCACAACATATATTAATGAAATGAATTATTATACTGACTCGAGAAACAACGAATGCTTTCGCCTGGCAATGTTACATTATAATCATGAAAACCCAGTAGTCCCACTTACTAATAAAGAAATATTAGTAAAAAGTTGCGAAAGAAAAATAAAAGGGAGAAAAAATACCTTATTTAATAGGAAGAACTTACAGTAATTATTGAGAATGTCTCCTGAACACTACGACAATCCTCGAAGAAATCACACGTAAAATCAAGTTTTGCACAACATCTTGCGCATACCTGTTGTGGCAAACCGTCGTTCTCCATAATCTGAAACAGATTAATGTAGTCAATTTTAATTATATAAAGATTACCGTCCATATCATTGCGTCAGTTAATAAGTGAATCAATACCTTCCTCTCCGGACAGCGTGGAAGAGCATGAAGGTATTTCCTCGGCTGAAATACGCTGTGCGTTTCTTTCTGCACGTAATCATATTCGCTACGTCGGTCCCGTATCGCACTTTTATAGCAGCATAAAGAAGAAAATTCGTATCAGAAAAATAACATGCAAATTGACAAATCGATAAGTAGGATAACGCCGATAGCCTAACGTAATCTCAATATCGTAAATTATTAATTATTATAAAACTATGACGCATATCACTGTTATATGTAGAATTTAATCATATGAAATGTAAGAAAGATGTATTAGATCGCAAAAACTATAAGATACATGTTAGAATTAATACATCTAAGTGTCACTCCAATATTATCTAAGAGTTTAAGTTCCAGTAGAATAAAGTGAATCTCGAGGCGTCCCAAAAATATCGTGCCTTTATTGAGACAACGGTGGAATCGATAAACAAGTGTTTGTTGTAGAAATTAATAATCCTACGTGTATGTATTTTCATTATACGCGATAATAACATGTATAATAATAATATGAACATCTCTGTCGAAGATAATACAATATCTTCCCAATAGAAAGGTATCACCTACCGATTACACATGATTATACATGTAGCGTACAAAATAGCATGTATTGCTTATCGTTTAACCAAGTCAGGAAAGTCTGTTAGAGTTATTATCACTTAACTAAGCGAGATTAATCAATCATAGCAATTGATAATTAATATCTTTTATGGAGTTCTTTACGCTAGTTTCGCGGATAAAAAGCTTCCGGTAATAATATATACGTGATTTTTAAAGTAATAGCCACCCCCTGTTTATATATGTTGATTAGTGGATAAAAAATTTAATAATATATTATTCTAATTAGATATTATTTTTTATTCAGCTTTCCATGAATTCAATAAACAATAAAGGAAAACGTATTTAATATGTACTTAAAAATTTATCAGTCAACTCAATATTTCGATATGTGTGTGTGTGTGTGTGCACGCGTGGTTTGCATGACGTATTTACAAAAATCGTACATTCATTTTACACATCTGTAAAGTTACTGCGCATATGGGATTAAATACAATATCAAACAAATGAGTACTTTAGAGTATATAACAGCATATATAAACAGGATATAACAATTTATGACATATATATTAATTATTATAAATAAATATATAACAATATTATAAATAATATTGTTATATATTTATTAATTTTATATATTAAACATGTCACTGTGTGTAATAACAATTACAATTAATTATTAAATTAATTGATATTGAACAGCAATTAATATGGAAACAAAAGACAATTAGAATAAACAGAGTAATAAAGGATGTTTCAAGCAAATCGCGTATTATATATTGCGGAGAGGAAGCTTTTTACTCGCGTAAAACGCTATATAGATATAATATATAGATATAATATATAGAAGATATTAATAATAAATTACGTATGACTGTGTGGTGTGTATATATGTGTGTGATTATATTTAATTTAATTATATATTTAAATGCTACTGCGTTTAAAAGTATTTATAAAAGAATCTAAGGTGTTGCCAATGGAATCAATCTGGAGCAAGTGTACTTGATCCCATCTTTCTATTTTTTAAGAGTCTATAATCAAGGCACTGATGATAATATACTTTCTTAACATTAGTTCTCTTATAATTTAGTTCTTCTCTACTTTCAATATAGTACGATTGTCATTGTAAAGTGTCCTCCAAAATGTATGGAAAGTGCGGATCGCTTTTCCATGTACACACATCCATACACACGCACATATTTTTACACACACGCACGCGCTCGCACACATACCCACACATACACATACACGCGTACGCGCGCGTCATCATGCTTCCTTACATATATACGCGTACGTACATGCGTTCGTACGCACGTGTAAAGACTTATAGAAAATAGTTCCGCTCTAGTCGAGGTTATCGATTTTGGAAGCCCGATTCCTAGCGCGTCGTTGAGTCATCGAATTTCCCTTAAAACTACGTGATTATACGGGTAATTGCGTTTTTGGCCGTACGTTAATATTGTCTATCATACAAAAATCATTTTTACCAAACGTTGTCCGCTTTCCCCAAATATCTCGAGAAGCGCAAGATTTTCACGCATGTTAAAAACGTGTGAAAGATATCGAAAGAAGACATGTAGGAACAGTTCCTTACATATTATCTATTACGCTTTAGGATATGACAGAACGACATTGACTATAACACAATTGATTGAAAAGGTACGAAAATATATTTTCAAAATTCAATGAACTCGATTTTTCGACCGAAAGAAACGAAATCGCAAAGCTGTAGAAGCAAATACATTAATCCTACTAAAAAAAGTCACATTGTGACACTTACAAAATTCAAGGAATTAAAGTCTTGTCTTCGGAAAAATAGATTATTTCGTTATCGCTAAAGATCAAAATTCTCTTGCCGATAATGACGTTGATAATTCATCGGAGCACCAAGCATATACATAAAAAGACCATCATTGTCCTTGAGCAATCTTTCACAACACTTTCGCTAAGTATCTCCCACTTACTTTCTAATCTCGAGTCACAGAACTCCATGGTCGAACACGTCATCGTTGACCTCTCGCGATCTACATAGTCTAAGTCTCTGCTATGTGAGATCTATCTAAATCTTATCTCTAAGTCTCCAATATTCAGCCATTAGTAACGGCAATTTGACGTCACTGTTCGCCCGCACTATTTTTCGTTAGTTGCGGTAGACGCAGCCACTGAGTCAGTAGTATTGGACGCGGTGGCCTTTTGCTTGCCGGTCCCACTCTTCTTTTGCTCGAAGTGTCGCTTTCGGTGCACTTTCATGTTGTCACGACGATTGAATTTGCGCCCGCATTCTGGGCAAACGTGCGTCTTCTCGCCGTGCACGTGGCGATGTGCGGCCAGATGACTCGCCTGCGCGAAAGAGGCATTGCATGTCTTGCACTTGTGCTTGCGCAGGCCCTCGTGTTTGAGCAGATGTTCGTTAAGAAAGGCTTTAGACGCGTAACGATTGTTACAGATGTTGCAGACAAACGGCTTCGGATTCGAGTGTTGCATCACATGCGCCTTGAACTTGGACACAACCTTGAAGGTCTTGCCGCAGATGCCACAAATGTGCGTGGTAGAATGACGAGTCTTGACGTGCTCGTTTAATACCGACAGACTGGAGTACAGATTATAGCAGAAGCGGCAGCGGAAGTTACGGCGTTTTTTCATGTGCACGCTGGCGATATGACTGAGTAGTCGCGTGCGATATGGGAACACCTTGCCGCAGTATTCGCAAGCGAGATTTTGCGGCGGTAGATGCGATTTCATATGAATCTGCAGCGATACTTTATGATGGTAGCTCTGTCCGCAATCAGTGCAGCTGTACGGTCGTACGCCTTTGTGAACATTATCGTGTTCGGTCAGGTAGAACTTGGACTTGAAACGTTTTGGACACTTGGGACACTGTATGGGCCGTGGATTGGTGTGCGAGCAACGGATATGTTTCATCACGTCCGATTTACAGACGAATTTAGCGTTACAGATGACACAAGTGTACTGTTTGATACCGAGATGTGTTTTCACGTGTACCGTGCACTTATCTCGCCGCTCGTAGAACTTGCGACAGAGTTTGCACGCGTAGCCGTTCTGGCCATCGTTCGTCACATGTTCCACGTTGTCGTCCACCTTGATCTCTTCACCGTCAATGCGAAAGAGTTCTTCGGGTTTTTGCATGGCTTCTGTCATTTCCTCCAGCTTCGCCAGGTCCTTCAGCTTCGACGTCGCGATGCCGTTATTCTTCCCTGTGCTACTGAGAATACTGTTGACGATACCGTTTACTTCCCCGGTGGTGCCTTGAGAATTCTGCAGCAAATCCACAATTGCAGCGTCGACCAAGCAGGAACCTTGGTCGGGAAACACTCGTGCGCGCACTTTCAACTCCGGTAGTGGGTCATCCTCAGTCGATTTTCTGCAAAGCTCTACGGTGAAGCTAATGTCTTCAGCGTCATTGCTGCTACTGTTACTGTTGTTGTTACTATTGTTGTTGCTGTTACCGCCGCCGGCGACGTCGCCGCGATTTCGCGACTCGTTTACTGACACCTCGATATCGGGAGCGCCGGAGACGAGAGTTAACAATTTATTCAACGCCGACGTCGGCAACTGAATCGTGGATCCCTCGGCTGAATCTTGTATCGAATGCTGCTTTTCCACAGCGCTTTCGTTATCGCTGTTGCTAACACTCAAAGAAGAAGCATTGGCTTGGTTACTATTGTCCGCGTTATTATTGTGACTCCTTAACCTGCTCGCGATTGGGATCTCTTCGTCCCGCTCATTATTGTTGGTTACGGACGACGTTGTAGAGTCCACGTTGTGCCGACGTCTTAGCCAACGAGTTGGCGTCAATTCTGTGCTTTGTATACTTTGGCTACTCTGTGAATTCTCTTCTATACTAATTTCGTCGTTTACAGACTTAAGAGATTGTTGTTGGCTACGAAGACTTCTCCTGAGAACTCGTTGTTGCTGTTGTTGCTGCTCGGAGTCCTCGCCGCTAGTAGAATTAAGATTTTTTTCAATACTGTTGTTATTATCCGCAGATCTGGTCGGTGGCGTATCTTCGTTTTTTATCTCCATCTAGAGAATCGAACAAAAATTTACAAGTGGGTACCAGGATTGTCTCTACTTCGCGGTAACAAAATAAGAACGAATTTAATAGTTCACGAGTCCAGACTTTTGCAATATTATAATAGAACACTATTATCTTTGAACGAATATTTTTTTCTGAAAATTTCCACAAATTATTTCTCAATTGCGCGAATCGAAGAAAAATACGTACGGCAATTCTAACAGACAAGATAGATATTGGTCGGTTACACTGTCTCGAGTAAGAAGAACTACAGTGTTTAATTATACTTTACTGTATTTTATTACCGAATTACTTTTTAACGCGTTACTGTTTGAAATTGATGTAAGATACGATGGAAATAGTCGTACAATTGTATGATGTATTGTTATATGGTGAAAGAGAGCGATAGAGCGGTAGATGAAATAAAATAGACAGACTTACAAGCTCTGTTAAGGGCGGTAGATTGTATCGATCGCGTAACTCATGTTGGGTGCGTAGACACTCCTCTTGAAAGTCGCAGACGAATTCAAGCTTGCCCAGACACTGAACACAGATCGCCTTGGGCAGAGGATCCCTTTCATCTATCTGCGATTCACAAAGAAGAAGCACCTAAGTACGTAGTGTGCACCGTTGGATGGCGAAGGAGAGATCTTGTTATTTCGTGACACTTACATAATTCTCGCTCTTTCTCTCTCAAGAGAGAATGCAAATACTACCGCTCTGCTCTATAGAAACACCATTGTGACATCATATTTCTGGTACCCACTAATAAATTAATACCCCATGGTCATTAAGCCAACAACACTCTTTTTTCGTTTATGTTTCTAATGTATCATAAAGTCTATGCATACTCTAGGAAAGATGATAAGAAAACGCGCAAAAAAGAAAATTCAAGAGTGTTCTAGGATTATACCTGGAGTTGTTGACAAATTTGGGGTTGTTTACAAACTCGAGTCATTAATCCATATTATACATAATGGCAATGTATATAAATTACATTTTTAAACGCAACGCAATTTCTTTCTCTTAATAGAGAATTTTTACAAGAATTATGTATAAATATAAAAATAATTTACAAAATAAAATTGCAACAAGTTATATAATATTTAGCAACAAATCATAATATAGTAAATCTATATATATAATAGTCTTTGAGAATATACATATTGATAAGTATCTCATATAGAATAATATATATCTATCGATTATAATATTGGAGTGACACACACATTGAAGTAATCAATAGTGAGTAAAATTAACTCTTGTTATACTAACAAACAAAATTAATGTTTCTTGCAACTTCCTTATAATATATATTTTATTCCTTTTTGAAACTTATATACTAGATTATTAGATGCGTAGATATATACATAATTAATTAACTCAGAGCATAAGAAAGGTATAGATTATTAAGGGCAGTATTCAAATAGTCTGACTTTATAATTGAGATTGTTTTAACTTCATCTTAATGCTGTAAGCATTGTTTCATTGGATATAATTTTTACTAGTCATTAGATCTAGATTAGAGAACTTAAAACAATCTCAAATATTAGATCAAGATACTCTTCTAAAGTTTGTTAATGACCAAGGTACTTTCCACATCTTAACAAAAAAAGCTCTTAGTTTTTTTTCTTTATAAATAAAGAGAAATTAGCAAATAACAAGAAGATTCCAACATAATGTCCCTCAAATGTCAGTCAGGTTTTTATGAAAAATAAGGAAAGCGGAGAAACTTGTGTACATTCATATTATACATACATTCATACTTCTGTACATACACATTCATATATACACGTAATTTTAGTACATAGATTTGCTGCATATATGTTATTATTCATTGCGATTTCGAAAATTACCGAAATTAGGAGCGCAGTAAGCGATACTGAATTACGTGCAGATAAAGCCTCGCGCTTCAGCCAAAGCAGCGATATTTTTGTAATATGTATAAGATATTCTATCGGTTTTAATGTAAAACCACGGAGAAGCGTAAAAAGCGCGTCTCCCCTTGTAGCCATTATATCTGCTCGTTTCCGCTGTACTTTCTACACCTCGCCACACTTTATCACTTTTCTCTTGCTCTCAAATTCGCATATATACGTTTGATTTTCATTTAAAAAGTACCAACCAAAACGTGCAGACTTATATTTTGCCGACCATACACCTGCTAGCTAGCGAGGCCCTACGATGGGAAGCCCACGCAGCCATGCGTCACAACTCACCATTATGTTGATCTTTGAGTGGATCTTGACGCTCAGGTAGCGTCTCATGCCCTCTTCGCCGAACACATCGATGTAGAGCCTTTCAAACTGGCCGCACAGCCTGCACACTTTCGCCTCTCTCTCTTCCAGCTCCATTTTCGATTTTCTCTCGTTCTGCGGCTCGCGACTACGTTCTGAGATATATAAAGAAGAGACACCGACAATAATCAAGAGAACCCACGCCCGTTGTACCGCGTCGTTTTGTGTCGTACTAGCGACAACGGCGAGACCTTCCGCTGCGAAACCTATTCTTTTCTCCTTGAAAGTTCGTACCTTTCGGAGCACTCTTCTGCTTGCTTCGTTTCACGGCACGATGGTTAGACGAAACGCGCGAAAAACGGAAAGGAAGGTACGCGAGGTACGACGTAAGGGGCGAATATGGAGGTGACAATTCCGTCAATGTTACTACGTGCTTTGAGTACCTAAGGGAAATAATCGCATCTCTAGCCAGCCAGCCGTACTGTCTCTTTCCCCACTACTCGCACTTTGCTCCGTCCTTAATTGGCTCCTGAGGATAAAGAGAAGTTGGTTCGAATCGCATGCTCCAACGTGCTCTTACTCGCTCCAACGCACTCTGATTGGTCCGCGTGGTGACGCGTTGGAGCGAGTAGGAGTACGTTGGGGCATGTGACGCGAATAAATCTGGAGTCTACAATGGGTGCTTTCCAATTGCTTAACACATCTTGACACACACGTATACAAAACCAGTTTATTAGTCACATATTATCTAAAATATCTTGAAATATAATATGCAACCAATAAGCTGCTTTTGTGTAACACAGTGTACACAACTGAAAAGCAGCCGATGCATTCAGCGAACTCAACAGTTTCACAACAGTTGAGCAATTCGTCAATGTAATTGGTCTAGATTTAAGGATCTAATAGTAAGAACCAATAATCGCTGATTGCTCACTGAGCGTTTTTTCCGCTGAACGCGCCTAAGGCTGCGTTCAGATTCCTTACCCGGGTGCACTCTAAACAAGAAGTGCTATAGTATATGTGATATATACTATAGTGTTTCTAGTAACAGAGTGCACCTAGGTAGGGAATCTGAACGCACCCTAAAGTGTATACTAATGTGTACGTATGTCGAGTAGGGTTAGGATTATTTTTCAATACTATGCTTATGCCTTGGTATTTTGTTGTCCATATTTTTCTATCATCAAAAAATAAGATATTATACACTTCACGTCGCAAATGTCAATCTTTTCTCAAGCCCTTAATTCTTATTATATTTAATTATCACTAGAAAACACTAGTTTACATAGACGACTAGTAGTCCTCGAGCTGAGTACGGATGTGTAGTGTTGCGTCGATGATTACGACAATTATGTGTTACGTCCCGGCGAGTTGCGGTCACGCTGCTGTGAAGAATAGCGCTCGAACCCTAGTACGGGATCAGATCGCAATTTTTCGGGCTAAACGAATCGCGTGATTCTACCCGGGGATCCGTGCGATCAAGGGTAATCGCGATGGATTTCATGCAAGACGCGTAGTATAACCACTGTAGTGTAACTTCACGGTGGGTCGGACAGTCGTTTTAATCGTAGTTTCGCACGTATAGAAATAATGTAGATAATGACGACCAGTGGTCGTCCACTGTGCGGTTGCTCTCTGTACCCCTGGATGGCGCTCTCGTGGCTTACATGGATCGGCACCTCCTGGACCTCTAGATACTGCCGACTCTGGGGAACCTTGTTCTGGATCACGCGGCGGCGAGTTCGAATATTCGAATCGAAATTTTAATTGACCGATGGACACTAGGGAGGAACACTGCACGTCGCTTAGACGTAGGAGGAAATGTGCCGTGTAAGGATGTTTGAATGGGAGGAAGTAGAAATAGAATTATTACAGATATATATATATATATATATATATATATATATATATATATATATATATATATATATATATATATATAATGTGTATTGTATAATTCTTGATATATAATATGCTCACAAAGATATCTTAAGTATGGCTAGAGTAACGGAAGTGACGAAATAACTAAAATGAACTGTTTAACAAACTAAAGAATTATGCATTAGAATAAAACGCTTGTAAATGTTTAAGAATGTTAAAGATAACCTAAAGTTAATTGCTTAAGAATTAGAGGTTTAGAATTAGTGAATTAGAGAAATGGGATTTAGAGGTGAGGACTATCTTTGGACTTCCGATCCCGGCACCCGACTCTGACTGCTGCTGAGCTTTTGTGATCCTGCCTTTAGAAGGGGGTCTGAATGGTAGTGATGCCTTCCTTTTGGGAAAGAAAGGTTTCGTACCTGAGAGTCAATTCTGTATCTCGAAACGAAGTGAAAATTACAAAAGTGAGCACATTCACTAGGCACTAACCAATGAAATTACGAATATTCTAGTATATTTGCTCACTTTTGTAATTTTCACTTCGTTTCGAGATACAGAATCGACTCCCTGGTCGGTCGGACGTGACAGAAGGCAACTTGTGTAGCCGTGTGCATGAAAGTGTCTAGGGATATTACAATTGGAAAACATCCAATAACGTAAGACATACCGTAAGAATGGAGCAATTACAATCGAGTATTCACAAAAATGGCGACTTTACGGTTCGATGATACTCAAAGTGATTGGTCAATTCTTATGGCTCCTGCACACAGAACACGGTAACACTTGCCGCGCGACGGAAGTTCGTGTAACAGCCAATCAATGCTGCTTTCTGTAAGAACCTTATAATTCTCACGGAAAAAACAACATATTGATTGGCTGTCGCGCAAACTTCCGCCGCGCGGCAAGCGTTACCGCGTTCTGTGTGCAGAAGCCATTACGGTACGTCTTAAAGGCCAAATCACATTAGCAATTGACGATTGACGATTAAAGATTAGATTTTGACGAATCAACGAGCTTCAATCTTGACTTGCTTTGTTCCAATAGGTCAAGTTCCAATCTTCAATCGTCAATTGGCCTTAAGGCCAAATCACACTAACGACTGGCGATAGATGATTGACGATTAAAAATTTGAACTTGATCAATTAGTACAAAGCAAGCTAAGGCTGAAACTTGTTGATTTGTTAAAATTTAATCTTTAATTGTCAATCGTCAATCATTAATCACTAGTGTGATTTGGTCTTTAAAGCCCGTATCAGTCTACTGATTAAGATTGATAGCGTGTTCGACTAGTCCTGGGTTAATCGCTCTGAGAGCGATTATTGACGTCATAAGTCTCTACTAGCCAATCATGAAGCTTATAAGTACTTGTTCGACCAACAATTGTAGGCTGAATAATTCAAAGTGAGTTAACCGAACCGAGAGTCAGTCGAACAGGGAGCGGTGCACTTGGACACGGTGCATTTGGACACAGCCAATCATAACACCGTATGATTAGAGACATTTGTAGGGTCCCTTGGAACAGCGACTTGTGATTGGACTGTGTCCAATTGCCCCGTGTCCAACTGATATACACCCGTCGAACATGCTATGAGATTGAATTGAAAATTAGCCAATCAGAGCAAAGTTGACCAAACTTGAGCTTAGTGAATTTTGCTCTGATTGACTAAATTTCAATTCAATCTTAATCCTAATCTATAGTCTGATACTTTAACTTATTGCACTAGTTCAGCAGTGCAGTTAAAAAAACAAACCAATAAACATGAATATAGGGTGTTTACGATAAGTTGTCGGATTGAAAATCCGACTGAACAGTGGTACTCAATCGACCCATTTCAAAAAATTCCCTAGCTTAATTTTAGTAAAAGCTGTCTCAGCAGTAATCGGATTGGGTGTATATCAGTTGGGCACGGGGCAATTGGACACAGTCCAATCACAAGTCGCTGTTCCAAGGGACCCTACAAATGTCTCTAATCACACGGTGCTGTGATTGGCTGTGTCCAAATGCACCGTGTCCAAGTGCACCGCTCCCGAACACACGGTGCTGTGATTGGCTGTGTCCAAATGCACCGTGTCCAAGTGCACCGCTCCCAATCGGATTAGCTTCATTAGCGACGTGAGGTGATACTTTGTCCTCAAGAGAAATAAAAAGATAAAAGTCGGTAGGTACGTAATTATTATTCTAATGATTAGCGCGTATCATTTTCCTTATATATTAATATATGAATAAATAATCTGTTACACTTTTACTGATATTAAATTAATGAAAAGAAGTATTATCTGTCAAATTAACATATATATATATATATATATATATATATATATATATATATATACACAATCTATAAAAATATAAATGATCTTTTTATATAAAAATATAAGTGTGTAAATAATTATAGATTACACATATGAACATACACATATACAAGCACACATATTTATATATAAATGCATAAATGTCCTTAATTATTTTAAAATTAGTATGTTTGAAATGTTAATTTGACAGATTTTATACTGTTCTTATTTTGTTATATACGAAATTATAACATAAATCCAATATTATTATAGGTTAATGTTTACTACGTGAGATTACTAATACTTCTTTTCATTAATTTAATATCAGTAAAAGTGTAACAGATCATTTATTCATATATTGATATATAAGGAAAATGATACGCGCTAATCATTAGAATAATAATT